CTCCAGGTATGTTTTCGATGTGGCACTAATATTATAACGTGATGTAAAGCTAAAAAATGTTGCTTTTATATAATACTGCCTCTTTAAACATGGAAAAATAAATATCTTTGTGCTCTATCTTAATTTCCACTTTTCTCCAGGCCTGAAAAACCCTTCAACCCGTCAACTTCCATCCATTTCCAGACTGCTTAGCTGTCTCATCCAGTCCTTCCCACCCCTCTCCTCTCCTCCATCATCTTTCTGCTGCCGTTCCTCAGTTCTCTGCCGAGCAACGCCACCTTCAAAGGGCCAGACCGTGAAATATCTGCTAATTTTTTACCTCGCACTGGAACGAAACGGGTTGATGAGCAAATTTGACCGTCAGCGCTCGGGCTCTCATGGTTCTCCTCCCGCTTCACGAGAATCAGGCCTGTCTTCACAAAGCAACAGCAGGTTCATAAGCAAGCCACACACCCAAATGAGCCCGATGATTATCTGCATACATTTCCAATGCTATTACAAGCGGCTCCAATCAGCGAGAGCGGCTGTCTTCAACTCAGAACATGCGCATGTCCCACAGGCATTAATTTCACCTACATATTAGTTCGGGGGTGGAAGCTTAGTGTGGGTGGACGCAATTGATTCAGTGCATCTGAGGCGACGCCAAGCCGCACGGAATCCAGAAGGGACGGCGATCGGGGGGCCTGCAGATGCTCCCCTCAAATGTGACTGTCACGTGCAATAAATCAAATAATTTCCCCGCCGCCAGCTAGTCCTGGTTTTTCTGATTCCGGAGCCACTTATGAGGAAGGGAACGTGCGAAAAATGGTGATTTGCACTCATCGATACTGTCCCCTCTCTGCTCCTGCTCCCCTGTCAGCTCATTAGTCGCCCATCTCGATATTGCTTCAAGGTGTGGATCCAAACTCTCATCTAATTATGCCTGAACACAGGCAAAACTGTGAATTAGATAAAGCAAAACTTTTGCATAATTAGTTGGAGAGAAAAAAAATATATATTCCTGCTTGGGTGTTAATCTCTCGCCTAAAGACAGAGAACTCAAGTAGGTAATGTCTGCAGTCACAGTAGGCCTTTCCAAAGGAAGGTGTTTCTCAAGAGACACAGCTGATTGGGCGAAATTAATGTCTGTCATTTTACTTTTTCTTTCTTAAGTTTTTTTTTTGTTACACTAATGGGGAGAGAAAAAAGGGGAAGACATACAGCAAGAGAACCAAGGACGGGACTCGAACTCGGGCCTGCTACGTCGAGTCGTCTCCTCTGAGTGCGGGAACGCAACGCCTCCATTTTTTTCTTTTTAAATATCACTAGCCTACTTCTCTGCCATATCAAACATTCATTTATGCGTTTAGTTTCACAATTTAACCCAAAGTATCAGAAGATGTGGAGGTTTAGCTACGCCTTCAGCACTTTGATATAATAACGGCAGGCATATTGTGTCAGCCAGTTTCCGTAACTTCTCCTTCTGCCTATCTGAACAGAGAACGTCCGGTTACATTTCAAAATAAGAGCATCAATATAAATCACACTGTTTTCATATTTCACGGTTTATAAGTTGGGAGAGTTAAACATCGATACCTTGCCATTACATTAAAAGTAAAATCTGATGATTTCTGTAAGTTCCTGAATGATTTCCGCTGCTGCAACTACTCAGTCAGTGTTTGCTCTTTTAGAAACACCCATTTCTCTGTCTGAAAAGAGCCTCCCCCCCCCTACCTCCCCACCCACCTCTGACAGAACTGGGCATGAGCCACACCCTGACAAAATCATCCACAGGTCGCATTCCCAAGTCAGCAAATGTGGGTAAAACTGTAAATCATTGACCTATTTAGTGCAACACCAAGGGCTGAGACTTTTTGAAAAATCTTTTGATGAACAGTCTTCTCTGGAGAAACAAAATCACACCCTGAATATCTGGAAAAAAAATATATATATATATATATATATATATATCTCCCTGGAGAATTAAAGCTCTTAATAAATTATTTGGAAGGACAAACCTTTCTACAGAAAATATAGTTAAAGAGGGGGAAGGAAAAAAAAGGAGAACCATGGAATGAATATAGCTGCGCTGCACTATTTCATCCCCCCTCCTTCACAACTAATAACTCATCTATCATCTCCAACCTATTAACAAGCAGCCTCAGTCCGGCTAATCCCATCAGGAAGAGGAGAGCCACTCGGCTGCTGCTAGCATAATTGTTACATATTGGCTCCAGTCGGACGCTGGTTTTCCCTTCAGAAGCGCAGACCTGTTATCTTTTGTCAGATGACATCGCCAATTTAGCTTTAAAGCGCGTCAATGCCAAAATAACAGCCTCTAAATGTATCCCTTGATACAAGCGGTTTGGTCTGCTGCATAAATTAGGAGATCTAATTTTTAAATGCAAGCGCTGAATACCAACATGACCCCACCTCGCATTTCATGTCAGCCGGCGCGGGTTCTTTCAGGTATAGAAACGCTGTGAAATTGCAGGCGGGCGTACACATTTAGGTGTGCTCATTGTCGTGGTTTCACATTACCATAAAAAGCAGATGCTTTTAGCCACCAGGAAACATTTAGTAGTTTCCTGTAAATTCCAGATGCATTTCGAATGCGCGGTATGTAATTACCCAATGCTGTCTCGCAGCGATGTGTCAAAGATGCACCAAATCTAAATTTCAGCTTTCAAAGCCGACGGCCGTCGATTGTGCCTTTCGTGTTTTTGTCACTCTGCGTGACATTCAAAGAATTTTGCTTCTGAGGAACTTTCTTTAGAATATCCAACATACTCTGTTTTTGTTTGGGGGGGGGGGGTTTCTAGGGTGCTAGACTCATAACCTTGAAACTTTGCCTGTGGGTGACTTGAGGACCCACAGGCAAGAAGTGGAGACCAGTATGAGGTAGGTTCTAAAATGAAGACAGGAAGTCTCTGAAAAAAACCCCAGAATGAATAGACATGAATGATTAATGAGGAATCGGTACGTCCAACAACAGCGGACGTAATCTTTACGAGTGCTGAAATGAATCCTTGAATGAATCGATTCAAAAGAATACTTGACGCAAATACGTCTGAGTCAATACGTCACCTATTACATATACCTGAACATTAAGTGGAGTGGTCGTGTTTTTTTTTCCCACTTGTTCTCAATTTTCAGTGAAAGGACAATCTGAGAAAAAAGAACATCAGTAGCCGGTCTACTAGTATTAGAGCATGCATCGTTCTTATTGGAAAAAAAAAAAACACAAGGTGTGATGCAGGTATATTGATTACTTGAGAAATTAAGAAATTATCAGATAGAATACTCAATTCCACTGAATATTACTAAAATATGAAATAGGTGCAGTCATATTTACAGAATTGCATTTACAATACATGACTACTCTTTGGTTTCATCATCAGGTAACTCAGAAACCCAAAATTATTAGCACTTGTTCAATCAAACAAGTGCTAATAATGTTGTCTAATGGTTCACAAATACACGTGGCTGTTCTTGGGTTTCCTTTTAATCATACTCAGAGGAAAGCTTGACATCAAACAAAGCTAATTTTCTGGTAAGTAGCGCTAATCAGCAGAAACACTCAAAATGATGAGCTTGTATTTCAAGAACTCCCTTAGAAACTGAAGCAGACGTCAGTGAACAAACAGGAAGTGCCAGTGGCTACTTGGTTAGCTCTGAAGCCCGATTTAAGCATGTTCTAACTGAGAGGTGGATATGCTAACAGCTGGACTCAGTGACAAGCTAACTACTGTTAGCGACACATGCTAACAGCAGGGTATTTCTTTAGTATGTTTCGTAAATCTTTTTAAACAAATCTTTTAACCAAGAGAGGTTGTTTGGTATAACATGTGACAGATTTAATGTGATACAAACTGACTAAAGTGTAGAAAACTAGCTTCAAACTAACGCCATCACTGCAGTGTGAACTAGCAGAAGCCTGATGAAGATCGATGAGAAATCTTCAAGTTCTCCACTCAGAATATGAAGTTTGTTTGCTATGTCACCGTTTTCCTTGTTTTTTATGCTTTTGAGTAAAAATTGAATGCACTATAAAACATGTTTCCTCAACCATACAATGGTGACTGATAGGAGGATTTTTCTTCCTGTTTTATTTTTTTTTGCTTCTTTATATAAACAATGCAAGCTGAAAAAATCCAGTCCTTTCTGTTCTCAAATCTACATCAGTACAGTTACATATGAACAAATTAGTATTTACTGAGGTGATGCAACCACTGAACTCAGTCAGGCCTCAGTGTTTTGTAACATTTTGACCAGACAATATTCCTCATCACAGTGAAATGTGTCCTGTGAAAATCCTATGTTTTGCTTCTATGTTAGAGACTTCCACCATGTTTCATTTTGACTTGTTCATACTCTGCTTTGGAAAGTATGCAAAGCAACTTTGCATACTTTGAGCTTCTAATATAGAGGCTCATATTCCTATGAGCTTCATAAACTTGTTTTGTTCATCAAACTGAACGTTTAGCGTTTCAGATGCTCTCTGGTCAGAAAATACCAAGACACAAATAGACCAGGAGCTTCTTCAACCTTCACTGTAAAAACTGAAAACATGTAATTGCTTCAGAAAAAAATTGATTCATTGAACTAACAAAGTGATGTGCGCAGTCAATAAAAGCTGCGAACCTGAAAATACACTTAGATTTTTCAAAATTGACCTAAAAAATATAACATATATATATCTATATATACAATACATTATTGTATAGCTTGCAGCGGTTGAATCTGACAAAATCACTGACAGTACATTAGAAACAAAGGGATCAAAAGTTTAATGAGATGTTCAGACAAAAAATAATTTAAAAGGCCTTGATTGGAAACCTGAGATGATACCTTGGACTGGACCGGAACATCCGTCCAACAAAGACAGTGACACTTCACAGTACAGAATACTTAGGTGAAGCACAAATTGTGCAGCAAAGCAGCAAAGCAGATATGTAGGGTAAAAAAAATAAAGATATTATACAATGGATGCTATTTTATTGATTTTCTTTTTTTTTTTTTATCTCACTAGAAACACTTAATCTGTTCAATTTTGCAGTAGGTTACGTGCTGTGTGGTGAGCTGCAGGCCTGTGTAGACTACAGTAATATAGTGTTTGCAAATCTGTTTCAACTTTTTTCAGATGGAAGAAATTTGTGGCTCTGACAAATCACCGGCTCTCCGAGGCTGCGCATTTTCTTTTCTTTAATCCAAACTGTATATAAAACCCTTATCTACTGAAGGTAAGATAGTAATGATTCATAACTTCTTTACAGAAACTATTTGAGACAATCCAAGCTTCCTCTTTTTGTAATTATCTGACCTATTCTTTCCAGCGTGCAGACCTTCATTCATCAGAACATTGTCATCATTTATAAAAAAAAAGGTTGAAAACCCGGTACAGTGTACAGAGCCTTTTATTTATCGTCTTGCTAATGGAATGTTGAACTGAAAGAAGAAACGTTCCTTCCAACAGAGGAGGAAACTGTAATTACTGCTCCGTATCTGCTTCATCGCAGTGGCAGTAACAGGTTCCACACTCTGCTCCACCAAAACATCCACTGCGTCCACTCTGCCTGGCTTCGCCGACTGATTCCCCACTACCCCCACCCTTTGCAAAGTCCCATCTCCATAGCGACGCACGCCTGTCCTTGGCTAACAGAAATAATTGGTTGCCCCTACATCAAATGGTTGTTCTGTGTATCTTTAAAATATTTTCACCGCCGCGGCTGCTGAGCTGGCTGGTTCGGTTCACGTGAAGCCACGAAGGCCCTCTGACTTCTTCGTTTATCTTCGTTTAACATGGAACACACCGCACGCCGCCTTTTTAATTCTCACAAAACGATGGTAAAACAGCAAATAAAAAGACAGCAGTGATGGGAGTTACTCAGCAGGTTTGTTAAGCACCTTAAGCTCCTGTCAGAGCACAGTGAGTAAAGCAGTTTTGTGTATTTTTCTCTAAATGCTATCTAGCTGTGCTTTTTTTTTATATATCCATAAATACCCAAATGAAAAATAAATCCTCGCAGATTAAAATGCAGGTTCACCGTAAACTGTTTTCGTTAGTGGAAAGGAGAGACGCGTCCTGGAAGACAGAGCTACTGTTCAAAGTGAGTCAAATTCTAGCCTGACCCGAATCTGTGCACTCTGTTATCTCCCTTAAAATGTCAAGCACCTCAATACGCTGATCAGGGCATAAAAGTACTTATATATATTATGTCCTTGAGTCCCAGAGATTAGAATTTCCATTTCGGGCAAAAAGAAAAAAAAAAAGAAGGCAAATATCACATGCTGAGCGAGGAAAACTGGAAAGGTTACTGAGCCTTATCTGCAATTATGCAAAAACACAGAGGCTGGCCGAACCAACACTCGTTTCTACAAAGAGAATCGACAATGCCTTGATGTTGCTTACAGCATTCCTCCCTCGTCTGCCGATGTGTAGCACGCAGCACATCCTAGAGGAGAACACAGGCAAGAACAGCTGACTGTACACTACTCACACCTTGTCAAATTGTAAATTATGAATGTATGTTATTAAAATTTAATTTGTTCCTTTTAGTTAAAAGGATAGAATTGGCAATTTAGCAAGTATATTTTATTGTATTGTTTTTTTCTTAACTCCATGAGTGTGTCATTTGTGCAAGCCGAACAGGAAGGAATCCAGATAACAACATGGTGTAATTACATCCAAGTCTGTGTGTGTGTGCGTGTGTGTGTATATGTGTGTCACTTTTTTCCTCTTTTCAGAAAAAAAAAAGAAAGGTACCAATAAATCTGTGAAGAATCACTGTCTTTGACCCTCTTCTCCTGTCAGGTTTCTTGACACGAAGCTGCTAAGATGTTGACAACTCCACTTTCTGCACTCATTGTGTCAGCCGTTTCATTTTCAGAGAGAGCTTTCCTCTTCACAGGGGGAAGAATAAACCACATTTCTGATACACGGGTCGCACAGGAAAGGAAAAGACAAAAAAAAAAACAGCTTTTTTTTCCTACTTATACATGGGAGTATAAATAGTTCTCCTTAAAAATAATAGCTTTCATCTACAATTATGCCTGTAAGTACTCAACGTGAGAGCAATGGTGCCCCCTTGTGTAAAATGTAATTAATTATCTGGTAGTAATATGAATAATGCGGTTCATCCCTAATGCAGGCTGATGATGGTGGAGACGGTGTGCAAAGCTTTTTGATAATCTTTATTCCGCGCTCATACGCTTTCCTCTTCAGGAAACTTGGATTTATTCTCTCTGAAGTGAAGGGCGTCCCCCTCCTCCCCCCGGTCCGTCTCGGCCCGCTCCTCTCCCCTCTACTCTCCGCTGTCAGCGCTCTGGGCACACTGCACCACCCTCGGCTCGGCCAGCCGCTCGTAGGACAGGACTGTCATAACCTGCAGACACATACAGCGGCATGTGGCTACGGAGAACGGAGGTCTTTGAGTAAAAACGTGTGGGCTATTAATGACATGCTGAGCAAAGGATTTTCCTTTAAAAAAAAAAAAACCTAGCGGTAACTGCTTTTTAACTCATTGGGTCGCAGCATTATCCCGACGTAGACAAAGTGCTATTGATCAAGACAATTAGCTATTAATCACAGCAGGCCGGTTAAAGGCCCAATGAAAGGGATGTTTAAGTTTAAACACTGAAAAAACAGAAGGATTTAAGGTTTGGAGGAGAAGCAGACAATGCAGTGACCCCAAAAACCAGGTTTCCCCAAGAGACCGTGTTTAGTCTACAGGCCATAATCTAAGACATAATCTAAGAACACCTGACACCTTGCAGCTCGTTGAAAACGTCATCATTCACTGTTTAGAAACCGTAATATGAAGTTAAGACTAAGATTATGCACACCCACGCCCTCACAGGATTAGATTTTAACATTCATTTCTTTCCTTGGCGTCACCCTGCAGCAGCTGAAGTCCTAATGTCCTGAGACTTTTAGAAGCATCTCTTCTCCACTTCACCGAAATCAAATGAATGGGTTGTTGGCAGGTCTCTACAGAACTGAAAGACTTGTTCATGAAGGACCTCAATCATTTGACTAAAATGTGTCGTGAAAGAGATGAGAAGTTGAAGGACAGCAGCTCTTGAGGTTTGAAGTTGGTCACCACTGGTTTAAAGCTAAATCTACAAGGGGAATGAACAAATCTGGTCTTAACTGTAGAAATGAAGGTGATAATGTTGAATACATTTTAATACCAAATGTTTTATGTAGAGGTTGAACTCCACCTTATCTACACTGTGCACAAAACAAGACACAGTCAATGAGACATTGTAATGGGTGCATCTACAGTGGGGAGCTAACATTGAGAAGTAGCTTGTTTTACTAAAGGTGTAATGAGATCTTGGGCTACGAGCTCTCGTAACATTAAACCTCTATGATATTTCTAGTTAAATGAAGCCTGTATAATGAAAAACACTCCAGTGTTGTCAGTATTTCACTTTGTCTGCTAAAATGAGGTTAGCTTTTGTTTTGAGTCCCGAAAATGTGGTTGTGTGCTTCAGGCTTGATGACCAGGTGTATCTTTACATACAGAGGCCCATAAAGGTCAACAAAATGCAAAGCCAAAACACAACAACCAAAACCTGAAAGATGCAGAATTATGTGTTTTCCAGACACATAGTGCCATTTTATAGCACAATCAAGATACTGTTACATTTACTTGTAATGAAAATGCTGTAAAAGAAATTTGACACTGAGGGACAAGGGTGTTCAGAAAATGGATGGATGGATGGAAGTTAACGCCTTAAAATTGGGACTCTAGCTCTTTAAAAACTGCTCTTTCTGAAACTCCGCCTACAGGAAGTCATCACAACATCGCTCTGTTTAAGGACGATTTCAGCAGTCAGTGAAAAGCTCCGGCTCTACTTACTGTGATCATGACGAGCAGAGCCAGCATCATGCCCAGCATTATGTACAAGTTATTGGTCAATCCTCCGGCCCACAAAGGACCCAAGATGGTAGCCAGGCCTCCGACGGAGCGCCGGACCCCTTGGCTGAACCCTTTTAGAGAAGCAAAACAAAAATATTTCATTTTTATTTCACTTGTGCCAATATTAAAATATGGCTTTGACATACCATATTTGCAAGTTTTTTTTTATTTTTATTTTATTTATTTTTACAATCCTATGTGCACAGCAACGATCTGTTGTTTGCGCATCTTGACAACATAACATGAGCACACCTTGAGTTTTCTCAGCAGTGACTTTGGAGAAGAGCGACACCTGAGACACAGCCACGAATGGAAGCCCCAGCAGCTGCAGGAAAACTCCCACTATGAAGGCTGAAAGCTGCCACTCAAATCCACCTGGAAGGCAGGGGAGATATGGAGAAATAAAATCGATAGATATAAGTTCTGTACAAATTTTTTTCAGGTTTTTATAGAACAGATTTGCTTGTTTTGGCTTTTCAGCTCAGTGTCAACAGACTGAGCAGAGCGACTGGTTGCGTTTCCATTACAAATGTGCACAAAGCAAAGTGCTGTCTATATTCCGCAAATGTTGAAAAAACACAATCGCAATTGTGGTGTTTCATTAAATAAGAAACACATTTAAAATCACACAGATAAGTCATTCAAAACTTGCTGCGCCATCATCCTCCTACCACTTCCTTTGTCATTTTTGGCAGTAGTAACATCCGGCTGTTGATCATGTGACTCGTGTCACACTTGCGTCAATGTTTCCATTTGAGTTTTGCGAAATGCACAAATACAAGATATTTTTATTGAAAAATGTGTTTGTTTTTTTTAAATTGTCGTGTTTCCATGAAGCAAATTTATTTTCATTATTTCAATTTGCGTAATTTTATGGCTAATGAGCGTTTCCAGCTATATTGCATTTTGCGAAACTACAATGGAAACTACAACACATTTTCTTGGATCACACAAATCACACCGTGTCACGAGTTTCGTTTCTCATTGAAACGTTTTGAATCCATAGCTCTTCTGTAAAATCGGCTTGCATAAGTCCAAATAGGCGGGGCTTGTCGCGCCAATGCCTGAATAAAACGCTGACGTCTCCTCTGATGGCTGATGGATGATGAGGCCCGCGGCTAAATTATGGATATATCTCAAGTAACTGTTTACACCTGTCACTGAAATGTTTTTTCATGACGTAACGCGTGAACAAGTTTGTTCACATGTGATTTCATCTTGACTTCTTATTTAATGTTAACACTGCAATTGCAAAGCTGTGTTTTGTGGACGTTGGTGGAATACAGACAAAAATCTGGGCACATTTGTGGTGGAAACGCAGCTGGTGGATCTCGGTTTCCCCCTCTCCCTCCACTGGTTTCTAGGTTCTCCTCCATAAACGGCCTGGCTCCTCCACAGAAAGCTCTTGTCTGCAAAATAAAACCTCTGCCAAGCTGGCAGCCAGTCCGTTTCTGCTCTGTGCTGCCTTGCATCATGCACATGTTAGTGGGATTCTGTGCCCACTCGAACGGTTGGATGTTCCTGTTCAACTTGAACGTCTATAATCTTACGATGAAAAGGCAGTTTTGCAAATTAAGCCGCTCCCTCAGAGGACCGAGTCTGGAGATGCTTTTTTTTTTTTGCTCAGGTATCTGTCATAAGTTTGACGCCATTGTTTGTTTAAGTGGAACTGAAACAAATACAGAACAAATGTAGGCTACGCTCTAACAAATAGCCTCCCCCCCATTTAATTAGATTACTGTAATCCTGTTAAATGTACCCAGGCTGCACCCGGTTCCAGCACCTGTCACTGTTAATCAGAGCGATAAACGTGACGAGCTGCAACAGACGCAGGCCAACATGAGCACACAGGATCCGGCCTGCCTGCGTGAGCTCCTGCTGGCCCACCAGAGCCTGAATGATATCATTTAAAGAGCTCATTCATTTCATCTGCCGGGTGACCCAGTTCCACTCCGCTGTACGCTCCCGCACACCAACACCGGTCAGACAAAGACGACTTGGCTCTGAGCCTTGAGTCTCCGTGCGTGCTCGTCGGGTGTGTCTGCGTGTTTTCACGGGCAGGTCAGCACCTCGGGGCTTGCAGAGGAAAACGAGGCACCAGATACAGGCGGTGCAGCAGATGACCAGGCCCACGGCCAGCACCACGCGGTCCGCAACCTTGCTGCTCAGCCAGCGCACGAAGAAGAAGCCCACGATGACCTCCACCCCACACAGGCTGTACATCAGGCTGTTGCCCAGCTCGCCGAAGCTGAAGTAGCGCTGCGTCAGAGGGGTCACCATGGTCTGGAGAGGGAGGGGAGGTAAAGACAGACAGACAGGTTAGATTTGATAGAATTCGAGGTAAAAGGAAAATTACTTATAACAGGATTGCAAAACATCATTGTACAGAGAAAGCGCACCTACGGAGCCCGTCTGGTGAAATGGGAGGAAAAAAAATAAATTCATGCCCACGTCTTAATATCTCATGGCCACGACTTCATAACGACTTGTTTAATTCGTGAGCACAGCTTAATATCTAATGGGGACTACTTATTTATTTCATGGGAACGACTTAATGATTACAAGTTGTGGCCATGAAATATTAAGTCGTGGCCACAAGTCTTTTCCTATCTTTAAAATAAACCATGTATGTCACTCAGTTTCATAAGGTGCTACAAGAAAAAAAAACAAACAAAAAAAAAAACTAAATAAAATTGGATTAAGTACAGTTTCAAATGAAATTCTAAAATTAAGATATAGAACCAGAAACTTTGAGGGAAAAACCAGGCTGACGGGAAACTCGAGTGGAGTACGTGTGTTTGGAAACCTTTTCAAGTTTAGTTAAATATAATCAAAAGAAGTCCAGAGTAGAGTTCAACGCGTCGTGTGAAGAGAACTCACTGTACTGTGACTAAATAACTGTTTGGCCTCCTGAGAGCCACTAATCTGAGAGACAAATAAAAAATTGGTTTCATTATGTGGGCAGTAAAGACAGAACCCTGTTCAATGGAATAAGGTCGTGTGGTGTAATGAGTTTCAGAGTGATGCGCACATTAAGAGAAGAAATGATGGGCTTATCCTTGCGAGTGGGCAACATAATGATCTGGAGCTACTGTAAATGGTCAGCTTTGGACTCAAATGTTTGGTGTCAACATTAACATCAGCTGACTTTCAGGTTTCATGTAGTCGGATTTCTACTTTTCCAAAGGGAAGCAGGATGTTTGACAATGGGAGTCCTGGGCCTACTGGGGCTGAGACTGGGAAAGACTGGGAAAGACTGGTTCAGGCGTCATGAAGGTATCATTTTCACACATGGATTGGTCTCCGCAGAGCCCCGACCTGAACGCTATTGAAAATCTTTAGGATGTGCTCCGGAGGACTTTACCCAGCAGTCTGAGCGTCCCGTCATCAGCCCACAATCTCGGTGAGAAATCGATGCAAGTCCAAAAGGATACAAATGACTTTGGGTACCTTGAGCTAATTAAAGACAATTACACAGGAAGCATGTGGCACATGCTGTTGACTGCTTCCCCGATCACAGAATTGTTTTTTTTTTTTTCTGTTTGCTTTTTCTCAAACAATTTTAAGGGTTTCACGTCACCAAACAAATTTTACAGTTTTTCTCTGTCGCTTTGGTGAATTTCTCGAATCATTTTAGACATTTGCAAAACAGAGTAAGTGCGTTTCTCAAAACTATTCATATAAACAGCAAAACACCACAGATTGCCTGCAAAAGCCACAGTTCATCTCTCAAAAGTAAATATCTGTGTCATTGAACGCATATTTACTTACAGTCAAACTGATTAGTCCTGTTGCCAATATAACAGTGTACTCTGGAGGGATGATCTGTTGTAAACTATGACTAAAGTTTTGATGACAAGAACTGTTGTAATTATGAGAGATCAATGGCAAGAGACTGTAATTTGTTGATGAGTTTCTTATACTTTTCCATCTCCATGATGAGAAAAACTCCCGTCTGGAGTTAAGGAATGAGGAGGAGTAGGGTGAGAGGAACTCCATTAGTGTCTCGTTGTGGATCACAAAACCATAATGTGATGATGTTGGATTGATGGAAACTGGCAGATGTGCTCAGCCTCTTCTCTTTTACCTTCTAACTCCTCTTCCTCTTCTCTCTGGGTGCTGACCCCATCCAAGTCCTCGTCCTTCCATTGTCAAAAGTGTAACACTGTGTTTTTCTCTGGCTGTATACACTACATACTTGCCAACTGATGGTTCAAGAGATGTACCTTTGAGATTTTTCAGAAAACCGGTTGATCATTTGTTGATCTAATCTAACACGTTTACCCATGTTGACGAAAACCTAAATTCACCAAGCAGTAATTTACCAATTCAGGACAGATTGAGAAAAATAAAAAGTTGAATGAAAATAAATTAAAATGTGATTGACATATTATGACAACCTGTTGAAGCATTTTGCATGTTCAGACTTATACGATGAATTTACTTTGGACATCGAGTCTATTCAGCAGAGACCCCTATAGTACATTTTGATCAATGTGACATAAGAAATTGAAAAGGCAGAGGATTGTACATAATCGCGTGCATGACCGTACATTTGCCTCTTGCTCACAGAAATGAGAAACTGCTTTTTGTTTTAAGTATTGAACAAATAGTTTTGAGGATTTCTTTTCTGTTCTGAGAAATGCACCAAAAAGAAAAACTGTAAAAATGCTTTTTATGATCCGAAACATTTAGGTGCAAGATGAACAAAAATCCACAACAGAATATATCTGTAAAGGAGCAAAAACACTTTTTAGCACCGTTCACCCCAATTCACCCTAACATTGAGAAAAGGTTACTTGATTTTTACTTTGTGTTTATTTCATCAAGAATCTATAAAAACAAAATTGTTTAGGTGTCTTGAGTTTTTCCATGGAGGGATTCGCTGCTGCTCTAGCCCCGAGTAAAAAAATGAGCAGAATGTTTGCAAGCTTTGGCTGATAGATCGAAATGGTTGCTCCTCACCTCCAGCGCTGTCTGGTTGAATAGAGTGATGAACTGAGCCGTAAGGAGAACAACCACTTCTTCTCTCAGGAACTCTGTAATGTGGAAGACAGAAAAATCAACGAGAAAATCAGCAAACAAGTTCGACTGAAAAAGCTCTCGACTGGCACGCGATGCGGAGATAAAGTTCAGTGCGGAGAGAAAACTGGAGAGCCTCGCCCAAGCTTCTTCTGCGTTAAGACAAGTGTGAATTGGAGTTTTTCCTCTTGTGAGAACGAGCGATAAATAGATCTTAGTCAATTCCATGTCTTGGTTCCATCTTTTCCTGGAACAGAAGCTCCCGTATGGACGGAGCGGGGTTGGAAAACGAGCTGGGCTCGCAGCTAAATTTGGATGTTCTCACCAGATGGCTGGAGAAAAGCCTCCACGTTACAGCGAGTGGTCCGCTCTGGTTCAGATGTCTTTGTTCTCTCCTCTGTTGTTTACTGGAGTTCAGCTTTTGTAATTCGCTCTTTTACAGTGTGTGTGTATGTATACTGTCTTAAAGCAGCTGCTGATACGCAAATACGAGCCAGAACAGGTTCAAATGTTGACTACAGATTTTCTCGATATGTTACTCAGAGGATTGAATGGTTCCTACACATTTCACATGTCGAAAGGTCAGAAGCTTCCACTGTCAGACATCCAGAGTGGTGATCCTGATTTGTTCCTTCCATTCACAGATAAGATAAGATAAGATAAGATAAGATAAGATAAGATAAGATAAGATAAGATGAACAACAAATAAAACTGGATGAATGGACCTTCATTAGCCTGATGTGTGTTTATGTGAGTATTTATATGTTATAATGATCCTAATGTGTATTAGAGAACATCTACAATAAATTCAAACTTTTTCACTCAGTTCTTCCTTTAATAATCGTTGTAACGTTTCTCACTGGATCAATAAGTGTTGAGGATGTTCTCAGAAAATAACCAAAATGCTGCAGTTTTCTGTAAATGCACAGGGAGGTTGATCCAGTTCTAAGCAAATGAAACTGTAAAGGCTACAAGCAAACTATTAAAAAACACCAGAGCAGTTCAAAAGCGAAAAAGTAAAAAAGGAAAAAATAAAGAGAAAAAAATCACAGTGATTGGCCCCTGACAGAGATGGGACTTAATGAAAGAAAACATATGCTCTGCCACATTTTCAAAGGTTCTCCACAGCTATAGATGAAAACAAAAAAAAAAAGTCCAGGAGAATCAATAATTCAAGGGAGCGAATACCAGACACACTGTAACAGCTAAACAGAGCGGGGTTTCTAGTATGGCAGATTCTCTTCAGAACAAACAGGAATCGATGGGAACTCTGGCCACTTTACCAATTCTGTCTCCATTTCAGCCACGAGTCAACCACAGCAGGCCAGTCAATAAACAAGGAGGTCTGCAAGCCTTCTCTTTGCCTCAACTTCAAAGAGTGAGAAGATCGATAAGAGGGTTTGAGACACACACACACACACACACACACACACACACACACACACATGCACGCAGTCATTTACAACTATCCTTACTGGGACACCGTACTGACTTTCATCAGCAGTAGCAGCCTGACCCTAAACCTCTCTCCAAACACTCAGACTGACGATGAGATGTTTTCTAGAGTAGTCACCCATTCAGTCCTTAAGGGAGATTACACCAATATGAGGAGAGTAAAAATGGCTCCTTGAATTACACATCCCTGGTCTAGAGAAAACCTGAATATTGGGGCAATCGTTTCCAACTAGTAAAAGTCAACACATCCTACTTAGTTAGCTAGTTCTACCATTGCTTCCTGTTCTTGCAGTATGCAAGTATGCTGTTCCCAAATGTGTCCAGTCAGCGCCCACTGATCAGCGTTGCCAGGTTTAGTGAAAGGCAAGCAGAAAACAAGGAATGAATCATGTGGCGGGTAAAAATATCCCTCCTCAATTCTTTAAGCACACGTGTAACAGCCAGTAATGGAAGATGCATTCAGGTCCTTGGAAGCGGTGGAGTCACAAAGTGAAACGTAAACGAAAAAAAGTGAAGACAGAGAAAACAGGTCCTCACTTTCCACAAATGACCTGCTTTTGTTGGTAAATATTGTGAAACTGGTCCTCTGTATGTGGTATATACCAGTACACACACACACACACACACACACACACACACACACACACACACACACACACACACACACAACAGTTCAGAGTGCAGCAAAAGATAATCAATGATGACAGCCAATCACCCCTCGTCTTGTATGTATCATTACTATGAGGCTAATGCAGTAGGACGCCTAACATCATTTATATGTATTTTCTGCTTATACAAACACATATACACAAAAGTCCTGTCAATACAAGAGAATCTGATTTGATACGCTGCGCAAAATCCATCTGAGCAGAGAAAGTCAATGTAACTCTGTGTGCATCTTTGTGTGACTGCAAGAAAGTCAATAAAGCAGATTCAGAACTTGTGCATCAGCTGTGACACCTCTTCCTACACGAAGCCTCCGATAGCCTGGAGGAAAGTTGACAGTCAGTCTGAGGCGAGCCATTCGCTCACCGTTGCTGACGCTGAAGTTTTTAAAGGGGTTTGAGGTTTCGTGGGCTCTCTGCGACGTGGACGAAGTCTCCGATTGGTCGGAGTCGACGGCTCTGTAGGTACGCGTCTCCTCCTCGTCTGAACCCATCAGGGGCGCCTCCTCTTCCTCCTCTTGTTTCATCTCCAACACGACGACTCCCCCCTGCGAGCTTATGGGCGGTACGTCCCAGTACCCAGCCAGGACGACGAACTGAAGCAGCGTCCACAGCAGACACATGAAGATCTGAAAAAGACAAACATCTGAATCCTAGATGTCTGAAACATCACGACGCGAAATCAGCTTCAAATTATGTGGAAAATTGAAGCAAGCGTTGAGGGAGGGGCCTCTACATTTCATCTTGGCTGAATCGGTGCAACAGGTGTTTCATTAAGGAACGGTGGGATGGAAACAGACAGACACGGGTTGTTACAAGCCCGAGCTCTGCCGCATATTGTTTTATTTCTATTGTTGAGAAAATAAAGCAGAAGAGGGGGAGGGGGGAGGGGGGGCGGTGGGATCCATAAGAGTTCAGAATGCAGAGCAACTATTTCTACGGCTCGTTTCTGTATTCATGAGCCTTTCAGAGAACCTCAGATTACTGATTGTGTGGATGCGGTTACCCCAGGAGACGTGTACTTGTTCACAACAAAGGGCCCCAGTTTGAAATCACACAGCCGCAGGAACAAGTTGAACGCCGGCCCTGGAGAGACGGGAGGAAGAGCTTTAAAGATGAGACAAACGGAGGACGTGCACAAGACACTAGCCGTACACCCAGGTGATTTTATTGAATGGCCTCTTCTCCTCGCAGATCACACCGCACATCAAAGCCAAAAGATCCTTCCTGGTGTCTTATGTTTCACCGGAATACAGAGCAGAGTGCGGAGAGGTGGGAGAGGGAGGAAAGGAACTGACCGATGAGAAGGCCGGCCTGACGACAGGCCATGATGGCGGCGAAGATACCGGCGCGCTCCTGTGGCAGAGTGCTCCGGGTTAGGAAGCCAAAGATGGAGGAGCCTGCTCCTGCACCCACACCTGAAAGAAAAACAGTGCATTTCTGTTCTGGAGCTTCGCCCTTGAAGGCTAGGTTCCACCCAGGTGTTTTTGGACAGCTGGATGGTTGCCATGGGAAATTTGAGGATTTCCCAAACATGCATTAAAGAGTCAAGGCAACACTTTTGATGAAGGAATAACATTATGACATAATAAAGAGAATGTACTTTTTTTTTTATCAAATGCTACCGATAGAAAAGTTTAACAAACTCAAACTTGATTTGTACAAAAATAGAGAGTGAATAATGTGTTTATTGTGAGGGCATTGATTTGTTCAGGTTTTCAGAAGTACTGGATCTAATTCCAGCACCCAAAAAGGTAAGAGGCAGCTAAGGTCTCCAACTCTTCTCCTCCTGAGGCAGATGTAGTTGGACTCTTGGAGGAAACCAGATGTAACGGAAAAAATGTTTTAACAACCTGCAAACTTCACACCAAACTGCCAACAACTCCAACCAAAAGACCTGGCACAGTTCAACTACGTCCTTGATGGTGAGTAATCCATGACTCACACACATGCCAATGTGAGTGTTTGTGTGTATTAGTGAGTATGTTACCTGCTACAAGCCGACTGCATAATAACAGCCACTTTGAATAGCCAATAAAATACATGAAGTTACCTGGGGACAAATGAAAAAGAACAACGCTAGTATTCAGGCTCTGCAATGACAGCAAAGGCTTCACTTAGAAAGTATAACTCTGGGTGTATGTTTAGCTTGAGTCTTTGCTGATATTATAGAACCAGATTTTTTTATTTTAAGTATCACGTAACCTCCTTTTGAAGGGAGATGACATGTCAAGATCTCATAACGCAGCATTCAGTGAAAAGTAAAACTCTCACCAGCGATTTCAAAGAGGTTGGAGAACAGGATGATGGATTTGGTAGCTTTACTTCGATCCGACCAGACTCCAAAAAGAGGACCCGTGAGCAGCGCACTCAGGCTGAAGGCAGACAGGCCCAAACCCAGGAAGTAAGGTGGAGCCTCCAGAATCTGCAGATACCTCCATATTGTGGGTAGAATGACGGCTGGGACCGCAGCAGAGGAACAGGAGGAGAAGAGTTCTTACAGATGAAATTGGTGCAAAAATACTGATACTGCTTGACCTGTTTTACATTCTTTGTTGGGATTTTTTTGTGACAAATCAACACAAAGTGGTCCAGGGAAGGTAAAATGGAAAAAAAGAGCACATGGTTTCTAAAAAAACAAAACAATTCATGCCCTTCCCCTTTGGTTACAGACACTCCACTTACCAAAGAAACTTGATGAAAAAAAGTT